TGAGCTGCTCTCCATTTGTACTTTGGAGTATTTTGTCGCGCGTGTTTCGTGCGCCCGTTTTATTTCGCCTGCGTGCGGAGTTTCTCGCCTCAGGGCATTTGTTTTCGTGCTGTGCTTATTGCAAAAAACCACTAAAGTCTTTTGACTTACTTTGTGCGTCCTGCGCCTGATTCCACCACCACACCCACCTACAGCTACACTGACAAAATGATTCCAGCTGCATCAGAAACCAATAAAGAGTTGACTTCAACTTCTGGATCAATTCATTGTGATATTCACGAAATGTATTTGGATAAACTAGCTACAATCTTACTGCTAAAACAAATGTTGCAGGGTATAATTTAAACTTTCATTTGTTGGCAAGTAAACATGTTTCAATAAAACAGTAGATTAGTCTGTCAATATAGCAAATAAGTAGACATGGCTTCTATTCAAGACAAAGTATTTGCTCTGGAGACTGAGGTGAGTTTACACAGCAGTATGTAGGAACAGTTATGGCAATGTATGACATATATACAGTAGCGGAAAAATATACTACTAATGCCTATAATAAATACTACAGTTCTGCAAAGGGAATACTGGTATTTGGTGTGTTTGGGTGGTGCAGTGAGGTGTTCGGAGTCATTTTGATACAAGGGGAGATTGCTGTTATGGGACCTTTCACATCTCCTCTTGAGAGTCATTAACTTCTTTGTGTCCAAGTGGTATTGTCTGTGAGAGAAAGACAAAAAACTATTAGATATTCATGGACAATCGTTGTGTATTCCTACTGTATCAGCATGATGTAGAATATGAGACATTTCACAGACATATGTTAGCTAGCTAGCTACAACACACAGGTATAGTTACTCCAAGACTAATATGAGTCATAAAGCCAAAGTCATCCCTTTACTCTTCGTCATCGTCATTAAAACATTTATCTAGTTTTGCTCCTAATGAGATGTACTAAGGCTAGTTAGTCTAGTTAGCTAGCTAGCTATACCGTTAGACTACAGTACATTTTAGGTATAGCTAAACTTGGCTAGCTTAGCTTGTAGTGGTACTAATAAGCCCCGTTACTGCCAAATCAATCACGAAATTGAACTGTACTGAGCAACACAGCCTCGTGTAAAAAGAGAGCTTATATTGCTAGTAGTGCTGAGCAATTAGTTCTTTTTGAGGTCGGTTCGATTTAGGTTTAAATTATTTATTTATTTATTAATTAAATGCGCTATGCATTATGTGGGTTGAATGCTGTAACAACACAGAATAAAACAATTAATAAAAGTCCCATGATGGTAGCTGTCACGACTTCCGCCGAGGCTGCCTCCCCTCCTTGTTCGGGTAGGTTTCGGCGTTCGTCGTCACCGGCTTACTAGCTACTGCCGATCCCATTCTCATCACTCCACTTGTCATGTCTTGTCTTGTCAATCACACACACCTGGTGCTCATTCCCCTAATTAGTATGTGTATAAGTGTTCCCTCTGTTTACTCACGTCTTCCGGCACTACGGGGTACCAGAGGATATAGTGTCCAACCGAGGTCCCCAGTTCATGTCTAGAGTCTGGAGAGGAGAGGACCCGATCTATCGAGACCAGCTCGTCAACCGGATCCAGCCACCTACACCCCAGCCCCTGGAGGGATCCAGATATCCCGGCCTCCAACTAGAGCTGTATTTCTCCAGCATCAGGCCGGCACAACTGGAGCGGGAGAAGGTATCTGTCCTCGTTTCCTGCCTTTGTGGGAGAGCCCTGGAGTGGGCCAACGCGGTTTGGAACGAGGGAGGTGCCTCGTTGGAGGACTACGGGGAGTTTGCTCACCTCTTTCGGGCCATTTTCGATCACAAGAGGCGGGCGAACGTCTGGTCCATCTGAGGCAGGGGACGAGGACCGCACAGTACTACGCGCTGGAGGACGCTGGCAGCGGGGTCCGGGTGGAACGAGCGTGCCCTGATCGACCATTTCCGGTGACACCTAAGGGAGGACGTCCGACGGGAGCTAGTTTGCCGTGATTCCATTTGTTATTGCCAAGGTGGAATATTTCCCTTGTGATAGTTTTGTTTTGACGCTGCGTGCGTTTTATTTATGTAAACATAATAAACTCTGGACTTCGGTGTTTTACCTCCTACGCCTGACTCCTTCATTCACACCTCGTCACAGTAGCGACTGCCCATTACTGCTTATCATTTATTAACCATAATCTATTCACATTACTTTACTTTAATAAAATATTTAAGTTGTTGTGTATATTACATATATTATATTATATGTGTATATTATATTGCTAACAATGACTGACAAAATCACTATTTTAGTAGTTCTTCAAAGTAAATAAGGCATACTTTTATGACTGCTGAATACCAACTGTCAGTCACTTAGATCATGTATTTTCTCCTCTCCATCGCGCATTCTTCTGTCTCTTTTACGTAGCAGGCGTAAACTAAACACAGACAAGTCGGCACGCAATGGATAATGGTCATTGTAGTTAATTACCACATTTTCTGCGCTAAACTAAGTAGAATATTGGCCTGTTGGAAACTACAACTCCCTACTACATCGCACAGTTCGGGCTTGATCTGATTTCTCAACAAAAACTGCGCAATGTGCGCATTGAGCTCACAGAAAAAAAGCAGAATGAAATGGAATTCAAATAATTGAACCGACATCTGTCAATTAGTTGTCTAAAAAACGATAATTGCTCAACACTAATTTCTAGGTAGCTACCGACAGCAAAACAACTTACTCGTACCCGGTCCAGCTGGCCTAGGCTGCCACCGCTGCTTACTTGTCTCGCAATTATTTTTCTCGCTATCTCAACTCTTTAGTATGAAAAGGGCTGTATGTTCCTATGTCAAAAACATCAAAAAATGTTTTGTGGTCCAGCTTTTCTTGGAAAGAGGAATCATCAGAAGCAGCCATTGTAATTACTTTGCAATCTCGGATAGACAGTGCACCTGTAAACTAGTACCGCCCCATTTTGAAAAGCCTGCCTTCGAGGGTGAGAACAAGGAAGTAGGGCTCCCATCAGGATGTAGTCTTTACAAAGCCAGGGAAAATGAGTCAACCTAGATATCCTGCAATGTCCTGGCAGATAGGAACATCATTGAGACAAGTCCAATGGCTCTATTGAACAAGGAAAACCATATCTACTAGCGTGACCGTGTTTCGGCGAAACACAAAGGCCACAATAATTGCTACAAAACATGACTTTTCGATCAGACAGCACTCACTGGGCACAGACATCAGTTCAACATCTAGTTTTGATTTACACTTGGTTGAGTTGTCAACGAAGGTGAATTCAACATGAACTAAACAAAAGTTGGGTAAAAACAAGATCAAATGCCCTTACTTTTTGCAAATCGAATCAGTTTTCCAAACATCATCATATTTATTTTTTCTGGTTGAAAATTATGTGGGAACAACGTTGATTCAACCAGTTTATGCCCAGTAGGCAGGCTCAATCAACCAATGATGTCATTGGTTGCACTCTCCTGGTGCAAGAAATACCAAAATACCGCTATAGTGCATAATTATTATCACTCAGAATTGTGTTTTTGTTTATTTAAATTTTATTTAACCTTTATTTTAACAGGGAAGTCATATTGAGACCTAGGTCTCTTACACATGTGCCCTGTATATACAACATAAATATTCACACATTTTACCCAAACTCGCTCTCTCTCTATATATATATATATTAAAATACAAAAACACAGTCATGGGAAGCACAAATAAAACATCACAAACCCAGAAAAACAGTTACATTCCCCCACAAATAAGTCCCCAATCAATTAAATTGCCCAAATGGCACCAGAACATCAAGATGAAATGTATTTAACATTTTGTTCCAGCAATACAGGTGCATTAAAACTAAAAGCAGATGTACCTAGCTCGGTGGAGACCCTAGGAACCTCAAGAGTTAACCAATCCTGTGAACGGGTTAGGCAACTCAGGTGTCTATACTTCAACAGCAAAGTTAGATAAGACTGAAGTTTATGAAGTAGGGCCTTGTAAACAAAAAGGGTGTAATGTAGAGATCTACGGGTCTTTAGCGATGTCCAGCAAACCTTTTGATACAGGACGCAGTGATGAGTATCAAAACTGTCACCTGTAACAAAACGAAGGGCACTATGGTAGATGGCATCCAAAGGTTTAAGAGTAGTAGCAGCTGCACTTTGATAAATAATATTACCATAATCAAGAACAGATAAAATGGTTGACTGAATAATCTGCTTCCTACTGTTTAGAGAAAGGCACGATTTGTTTCTGTAGAAAAAGCCAACTTTAAATCTTAGCTTCTTAACCAGCTCATCTAGTTTTGAAACAGGCAAATCAACAGTCGGGGCAATAGCATACATAATAGTATCATCCGTATATAGATTGACCAATGGTGTTTATATAAATAGGGAAGTGAACAGGTACCAAAATCGACCCCTGTGGTACACCTTTATGTACTTCAAGAAATTCAGACTTAACCCCATCAATCACGATGGCCTGAGTTCTGTCACTAAGATAATCATGAAACCATGAACTGGTTTCAGAGCTCAGGCCTTATTCAATACAATAGCATGATCAACAGTATCAAAAGCTTTTGACAGGTCCATAAACAAAGCAGCACATTACAGGTTAGTGTCTAGAGCATTGACAAGATCATTAACAACTAAAGTATTTGCTGTAATAGTGCTATGCCCAGGCCTAAACCCTGATTGGTTTACATTCAAAATACATTTCTCAGATAAAAAAAAGAACAAAGTTGTACATTCAAGAATGTTAGCTAGACAAGGAAGCTTTGAAATGGGGCGATAATTATTAAGATCACTACTATTATTAAGATCACTACTACTATGTAGGGAGACTGGAAAAACACCCCAAATGGATGTCTAGCGGTGAAGTTTCCCTTTAAGACCGCTGCATTGCGTCTCATCTTATGTATCTGAAGTGGGCTTTAGACATTAAGACATTTTAGTAAGGCATTTTAGTAAGGCATTTTAGTTGCATGAAATGACGACAAACACCAAAACATATATCAAATGAATGTTTATTGAGAGGATAGCAATTCCACACAAACAAATTCCATTACCAATAATTCATAACTCCAAATTATTCCAGGTTTTTGTATCAACCTCAAAATCCTTCAAAACAAGTAGCAAAATTCATGGTGAAAGAGAAAAACAAAAAAAGGGTAACAACAGTAAAATATGTGCTCTTAAATGTGAGCGTCAACAATGGTGGTGGGGTGGTTGAAAAGTGGGAGGTGGGGAGGTAGGGGGGTGGTGGGGGAGGGACGTCTTAGACGTAGGCTTTGGCGGAGTCCGGATCAGACTTGGCGGCAGGTGCGTAGATTGTCTTAGGCTGACTTGTTGCGTAGTACCCTCTGGATAACATCAAAGAGAACAGAAGGTCAGAGAGGGACAGGCAAACTAAACAACAGGTGAAAAAGCAAAAGGTGGCAGGCACAAAATGTAAATGAGACAAAACAACAAATAGAATAAACAACATTCAAAGTGACTCTTAAGGAAAAACAAGGGAGGCAGACAAAACACATGAAACAAGTGAGACACAGAAGTAGAAGACAAAAAATAACATGTGACAGTGAGGTAGGTTACAGTAGTGTTTCTCAACTCCAGTCCTCATGTACCCCACATTTGAGTTGAATGAGGTATGCTTGAGTGGGGCTAGAATTTTTTTTTGTAACATGGGGCGTAATCAAGGAGTGGAGTTTAAGAACACTGAACAACAGGGTATGTGAAGGTACTGATGAGAGGCGAAGGAAGTTGAATAAAAGACGTACGCTTTAGGCTTTTCACTTTTTGCCCTCTTGCAGGCACAGCAGAGAAGAGATCCTCCCAGCATGGACAGACAGGCTGCGCCCCAGCCCAGGAAGAGACCAGTGCCCAACTCAAACCTACACACAACAAAAATCCGTAAGGAACAAAACAATGGCCTCATTTTATGGGTGCATTTATACAGTATGAAGCCATGTATTATTATGTGCATCAAAGGGTGTGGCAAACATTCTATGTGTGTGAATTGAAGTTTGGGTTTGTAATGATGAATACAGTTCTGTGGTTGCTGAAAAAGTTGCTTCGCTTGGACTTTCTACTTACTTCACCCCACCAAAGTATGGGTTGTTGAAGTCCTGCACAACTCGGCTGGCGTACCAAGAACAGCAGATCATCTCGCAGAGACCTGCAGAAGAGAAATACACTTTATATGAGGGAGATGAAAAGCAGACGAGATGTGAGGTTAGGGAAGGAAAGGAAAGAAAGAATAAGGTAGACAGAAAAAGGAAAATGGAAGAGAGAACAGGGAACGCTAAGGAATCTGTTAACGAAACAGAATGAAGAAACAAGAGGTAAAGGTGTAAAGGGGGTGGGGAAGGAAAAAAAGGGTATGATAGCAAGATGAGAGAGAAGTGAACCACGGTGAACAAAATAAAGATGTGAAAAAGGAACTCAATGACAAAACAAGAAAGATATATACTCTGACGCTATCACCATGAAAGGCTACCGTATATCAGAACAGTTAGGGATATAGAATTCTGTTAACTTTTCCAAACTTAATGGGTTTTTCAGAAAAACAGGAACCTTGGGAAAGTTTCTGAAACTTTGCAACCATAGGTAGTAAATCTGAACTCACCAGCAAGGATGAAGAGGCCTCCACCAGTGACAGCAATCTTGGCCTTTGCCTGCTCCGTGGCATTGCCAATCTTAATGCACTTTAGCCCCAGCAGAGACACGATCATAGACACCAACCCTAAGAGCAGAGCGACGATCATCAGGGCACGGCTCGCCTGTACATGGCCTGAGGGGAGGGGAAGGAAGGGAAGAGAGAGATGAGGGGAAGAGTTGCATATTAAAACACAGCTACACATCAGCTACACAACATCAAGTTGGAGAGAAACTGTATACATATACACACACAATTACTGGTTTGTTGGTGGACTAGACTAAGACAACGGTATACATTTTCAAAGGAGTACTATCAAATATCCAAAGAAATAGACACAATGCAGAGAACATGTCCTTTATAAATGTCAAGGAACTGTATTCTGAACATGAAAAAATAGCATACTTATGCTAAAGGTGAAACTTAACAAAACATCCCAAGATATGTCCATAGTGGTATTGTAATAACATTTAAAAAATCCCAGACCATCACATTTCTAACCTGAATTTAATCTCACCGATTTTCAGCAGTTACTCATAAGGTTGTTATTAGGTTGTTGATATTTTTGCAATTCAACAATATACTGTATACATCTACAAATCACCCTTTAGATTGCAGATAACTGCTATCAAAGCCAAAGACCTAATAACCCAGATGAATGTATGCCTATATTTAGAACTGCTAGTTTAACACTGGCCAAGGTGTAGTAGCTTCCCTCCATTTCCTTGTCATAGGAACACAAAATGGCCGCCCACCATTATGACACACATCACTGGCCTTTGGGAGGAGAGAAAGGTACAAGAAAAATAGAGATTCAATTCTAGAAGAGAGTTCAAACGTGGCCTAGTGGTTAGAGCGTTGGGCTATTCATTGAAAAGTCGCTGGTACGAATACCCGAGCCGACAAGGTGGAAAATCTGTCAATGTGCCTTTGAGTAAGGCAGTTAACCATAATTTGTTCCAGGGGTACTGTACTACTATGACTGCACCTTATCTGAAACTTTCATGAAGAGTTAACATTATTTTAATAAGTAAGAACCCCTACATTTGAAGTTACATTTAGGCAGGAAAGCAGTGGGTCCGAATTGCACCCAAAGGATGTTCATATTAGCCTTTTTCATGAAAGCTCACAGAAAATAATGCAAAGATATATTTATCTTCTTGCGATGGTAGAAAGTAATTGGACATAATTATTATTCATAGTTACATTATCTTCATTTAACCATATCAGATATAGGCGCAGGTGTGCCCTGACCTTTCCCCACCAACGATGACAGTCACTCTAAGACTGGCAATCCTGGGTCTTGTTCAGTAAAGCACACCAAAAGAAAAACATTTAAAAACCTTTTGCAATAGAAAACGAGAAGTAGTGTCATTTGACCAATTCAGGTTGTACCGCCCCATTACACTCCGTTTCAAAGTGTTTTCTCCCTGGTTGGAGTGTCTGAGTTGGTGGTGACGGTTAGAACAGTTAGACTACTGGTTCTTACCGGGCAGGCCGAGCAGGGACTCGAAGTCGCGGCACTCAGCGATTCCAGAGCTGTCTTCAGCACAGGCGTGCCACAGGTTCTCATACTGTCTGTGGGAGATGATGACGCTGCCAGAGACGGAGGACACCTTCCAGTAGTCGTTGGCGAGAGCCGCACCAGTGATCAGCCAGCTGGCGATACACATGAAGAATCCGGTTGCCTCCACAGCGGTCGACATGGTTGAAACCTTTCACAACCACACGAGATGGAATGGATTCCCAAAATACACAGAAAATACAGAACTACAGGGCCAAATAGGTAAAAGTCCCCCTAAAAATGTAATGACGCTAAAAACTACACTACACTACAGACAGGGTATGGCCTTAAAAGAACCCCAAAAACAACCTTTGAAAATCTACCAAAGTATGCACAGAAGACTGAAGGTATAGATGTGTGGGGTGGATGTTAGCTATTGTCCCTATCTGTCCGTTGTGCTTCCTATATCTCAGGTCCCTGGCTCTGACATGAGGACTTTACACCCTACCAGGGGCCATAAAGTTAGCGGAGCCGCACCCATATGGGCCCTCTCTACCAACTCCCCCACTTCTCTCCAACCCTACTGATTATGATGACGGTGATAAGGATGGAAGACCTTAGTGGCCACACCCAAACCAGGCCCTCGATACTCTCGCCTCCTGCTCTGCTCCATTCTCCTAAGGTTGTGTTGACAATGATGATGATGACGATGATGATGAAGGTAATAGTCACTTCCTCTGTTGTGGTGACAGAATTACATCATGCTGTCTGTTTCTTGTCGTAAAGGGAAGACATTTCTGGCACCTCCTCGTCATCTTTTGGTTGTCTAATTGAACCCTCAAATCAAAACTTTGGTGCCGTCACAATAAGTCTTGAAGTCTAAATACATGCTTAGTAAATTATTTTTATCAATTATTGGACCTAGACATAAATACAACAGCATCGGTTGTCAAAATCTATGACATCTTTTGATATTACAGGCTTTGACTTCATTTGACATTAATAACTGACCCATTTGATACATTTATATGTTCTCCTGCTAGAAGATGGCATTCAAAATGGGTCACTGAACAAACTGTCATAGATTAAAACACTACTGAAATATCCTTGATAATGATTGCCATGAAACTAAGATAATGATTTTATGACCATATGAATTCCCCTCCTGTCGCTAAGCCACAAAAATGCTATGCGAAACAGCTACTCATTGTTGTGTGTGTGCTTGTGATTCCAAATGTGGGTGACCATACATAATGAATTCATCAATACTACTACACAGATGAAAAAGAGTTTGGTGACCAATGAAATATGTTGCTGCACTGTAGTACATTGTGCTGATAGTTAATACTTGTATGGTTAAACTGTAACATAGTCAATCCATCTTCAACCGCTCCTGCTCTGATTGCTTTCAATGTCAGCTATCAATATCAGTTTGCCCTCTCTTATATCGCAAAGAAATTGTTGGGCATGATCGAATAATTTTTATTGTGCCTGCTTAATGGTGTCATTCTACATCAACAGGTGTTATTATCATTTCACCTTCCACTTTCATGTTTAGTATTAAAGACGTTGCTCTTTTTAAACATTGGGTGTGCCTACTGTGGTTTCAGGTTGCAAAACTGCTTACGCCTACATCAAGTTCACAACATAGGTTTTCACAACATAGGCTCAGAACGAGCACGATGGATCAAATATTTGATACCACATACAATATATATTTTTTTTAAAATCGTTGAACCCTTCAAACGAAGAACCATATATCTCTGTTTTGGTGACATGGAATATTTCTAGTTGTATAGTCAATATGAATCATCCATAGTCTTGAAATTCAGACTATAAATAGACAAAATGTACAGTACAATACATGTCCATGTCAGTTGAGAACACTGGACATTACAGGGAACTTATAATGAGATACCAAATCAGTAATCAGCTGAAAATGAAAAATGCACATATATGGTTCTTCGGTTGAAGGGTTCCGTTTTTGGAGTGTGTCTCATCTTTGTAGACTAGCACCCTATCTAAATAATTGAGGAACGTTTTTTTTTGCTTTTTGGGTGTGGCACCAAAGCATTTGAAGTTGTTCGACACGTCTCCATAAATGCCCTTTCAGTGGTTCTGGGGAAACTCAGTATTGCTCTTGCACAGAAAAACAGGAAGTTACAAGATCATGTACTCTAAATAGGAAGTTGGATTAATCACCTGAGCAATAAACATGATTATGTTCAGTCTCAGTTAAATAATTTGACTGACTGAATACATTTGGTCCAACCTAGAGCTATTCAACATCCTTGAGGCTGTAATTGTTTCAGAAGAGACGATTTCTCTCGAGAACAACTTTTGAAGAAACGCAGCTATAAAAATTTATGTTGGACAATTTAAATTAGAACCATAGGGTGGTGGGGTTTAGAGTGTTCGCTTGGGTTCAGGATATACAGTGCCTAGTGAAAGTCTACACACCTCTTGCACTGTCTTCACATTTTACTGTCTTAAAAATAAATCAAAAAAGGGATTACATTTGATTTATTTTTCTACAGATCTACACAACATACTCCCCATTTTCAACATAAAATAATAATGATATACATTTTTACAAATAAAAAAAACAACAACCTGAAAATTGATACTTGGTGGAAGCACCTTTGAATAATTTTGAATAAGATTCTACCAACTTTGCACAACTCTTAGGGCAATTCATATCCATTGTTTTTGTCAAAATTGCTCAATTTAGTTGGGAATCATTGATGGACGGCAATATTCAAACCTTGTCTCTGATTTTCAGTGGTGCATTGGTGCCTGGAGAAGTGGGTATACTCATATTAATTTTGTAAAACATTTCCCATATGGCCCGCCCTGTGTGAAACATTCAATGTTTTCCTATAGTTTTTTCAGGTACTGTATTCACTCTCAGAATCACACTTTTTTAGAGAAAAACGACAAAAATGTGATGTTCCAAGTCCACAACAATGCTTAAACCACATCAGTAGACCATTTTTGAGGTCTGGGAAAAATAAATACATAAATTAGGGAGGGGGGTGTAGTTGCCATTTAATTCAATTGTGCACCTAGCAAAATATATTTTGGCTAGCATTGTTTCTGTACTGTACAATGTAGGCCTACAGTGTAGGCTACATGTGATGGCAGAGTTTACAAAACAAATGCCCTCCCGATTGATACAAAACATCATGATATCATTCTGCCAGGTAGGCCTACTTTGCAGTCAACATTGAATTGGGAAGGTTTTTGGGGAAAGCCTTTAGACATGTTCATTCAAACAATGCATGATGACTGAATTGCGCATAGGAAAGATTCAACTTTTTCAATACCTGGTTTGCATAACCATTGTTGCCTTAGTTAGCATTTACTGCTAGATATCGTAAGTTGCGATATCTTACCTACCCTACTGGCAACCGATGTTGTTCAATTCTGTGAGTTGCTCCATGCTACAACCAGCGCTCTTGCTGCCTGATATTCTGCTGAAACTAGCTATGTGTGCGGCGCACATGTAAACATATTTCACGTGCTTTTCACGTGCTTTACTTTGTGCATGATTTCTCTATTGTACTACATAATCGATACGGCATATACGGTAGCTAACTAGTAACTCCTCCAGTATATGTTGACATCATTTCACAGGATTTGTTTGGGGATGTAAGCTGTAGAGATCGGTAAGACATGGCACTTCTGTTAACCAAATATCTTATTAATCAATTTTTTTAGTTGTTGCATTAAATTACCTGGTATGTTGATCAGTTATACAATTTAAAGCCATTATTTTTTAGTTTTAGCCCAAAGTTTACCTTTAAAGTAATTGTCCAGTGTTTCCAGATTTCTATGAAATATGACCTATAATTAATTACAATATGAGTGAAATAGTTTTCCTTCACAAAAATTGTTATTAAGTATGTTAAAAGGCAGCGTTTCTGTGTTGGAATGGTGTGGGCACTGGCGCAAGGAAGGGGGGTCCACGAGCTCTGAGGGCCCATGCGCCTGTCATTGATTTTTTTAAATGTAATAAATCATCTTGACAGTAACCCTGCAAAAAGTAATTCATTCATAAACCTTTTTAATTTCCATATGTACTAGGAAGCTAAGTGTTTGTTTCTTGGGCTTCAGGAATGTGACTGAAAAAGTGTCCCAGGTTTTGAAAAAGAACACATTTAACAGATTGAAAGTATAAGAGGGATATCGGCTAACAAATGCCATGGTCAAGGCCACGACGACACCAGTGTGGAGAATGGAGCTACTCAGGTGTTCAAAAGCTCATATCAGACCGAGAGCCTAATGTTTCTTATGTCATTCTTTGTGAGTTTTAGTTTAGAAAACGATCTCTCCTTAGAAGCGACAGTTACAGGGATGGTAAAAACAGCTTGATTGCCATAGCAACATCAGGGAAACTGGGCAGAAGGGAGGAGTGCTTTAAATACAGCAGTTCTGTAACATCTTTAATTGAGCCTCTCATTCTCCTTAATTGCTGGCCTCAACACGTTACAGAAAGAGATTAACTGTATAGGAAGCTCTGGGGACAGGTCGTCTGGATACTGGACAGCGAATAAATTGGCAGATGCAAACAGATTATCATATTTATTGGACAACAGTTCTTGAAGGCCTGAACAAAAAAAGCAGTTTGCGATTTTCGTTCATACTGGTGAACCGGCGTTTGAGTTGTGTGGTTGCAATATCAACAGTCCCTTATCTCTGGTATATCTTGGCATGCATCATTCAAGACTAAATTAAAATTGTGTGCAGCACAATGGACATATAATGCACAATGTCTTAGGAAAGACTGTCTGGGTTGGCAATACTCAGTATAGAAAACAGTCGGGCCCGCAACCTGAACCTACAGGCCGTGGTGAAAAAATGTGCACACAAAAAAGGAGGACTTCAGGAGACCAGGGGAGTAATTTAATTTACTTTGAATAATGCTGCCCATTTGTGTAGGGTATTAGCCAGACAAAACCTGCTGAGTTCAACAATAAATAGTGGCAGAATTTTTCCTCAAGCCGACTACTTTTTTCCTTATTGTTACGCTATTTTATGTGTAATTTTTATTAAAAGTATATAAATAGCCCCTAAATCGTAGCTAGACAGTATATAGCTATAGATAGTACACTGCATAATGAAAATCCCTAATAAGCTAGTGTTTTGAGGGTGGACTGACAGTATTATTTGGCATTAATAGACGGGTTTTATGCACAACAACTTTCTATCCAAGCTGGGATATTTTTTAAACGGTCTGTTTGAGATTCAAGTTTGAGATGGGGTTTTTGAAGTGTTTTTTCTCCAATTAATGCTTTGGCCACAAATACGAGTATAGGATGAGTCAACAACATTATTTGGGTATGAGTTAACAGACTATTAACTTTTAAAAGTGAGATTTTTACTGGACAGTTCATTTAAAACTGCAACATTTTCTCTCAGCCTCATGGCAAAATGTGAAGAGTAGCATGAGATGAGCGATAAAACAGCAAATTCTTCTCTCTGCCCTATGGACTGGACAACTCAGGAACACTAAACAACTCTTGGAAAGCCATTCTCATGTCTTTTTGCATTACAATTTGTGTAAT